TAAAGGTCAGCAGAAAGCCAAACGTCTGGACTCTCAGCCAGTCCAACCTGCGGCTGCTTCTCTATCCTCATTAAAAGCCCAAAGAGCCATTTTATCAGGCAGTCGCTGCTGGCTGAGCACAGCGCCAGGTGCCCTCCTCTTCCCACACGGGGGACAGCTGCTCTCGGCATCCAGAGTCCCCGGTCCCTCCACCAAGCCCGGGTCCGAGTTGTGTTTACTCATGGCAGCCTGATCACCGAGTGAGAAGCGTCCTTTACCAGACCGGGAGGAAGGCTGCAACAGCCTCAGTCACATTTACGGTCCGCACCACTACAGGCCATATATCAACTCTATAAAAGCAAAGCAGCCGCCCTCGTGTAGATTTTTTATTATGGTATTAAACGGACCCCCCGAAAAAAGTAGTTTAAGTAGTTTGCGCTAAAGACAAGGGGCAAAACCACGCAGGGCCCGACTTAATGGCGCTCGTTAACCAAAATGACTGTTAATCTGCCAATAAAACAGTGTCAGATCTGCAGCTTCCACATATCAGAAACCGGCTAAATAATTCAACACACCTATGTGTGAATTTTACTGTGCATCTTGTCTTGGAAACAACTCTGCTGCTGCCTCGCCTAATGTGTGAGAGTAGCGGCTCTTATAGTAATGGTGTTTTAAATGCAGACTCCCTGATGTGATTTTTAAGTTGATGTGATTTAAGTGATTGCTTGTGTACAATTCAGCAAGAGTGGATGTGCAGCCGGTAAAGCGTCTCCTGCACTTTACACCGAAATGCACCCGCAACAATTCGATTAATAAATAAAAATAAATGATGGGGTTCCTTATTTGTCATCCATTGTCCCCTCTCTACATTCCGTGCACACTGTCCAGACGAAGCATAATTTAACGATTTTACGTGTCTGTCTTGACAGCAGCAATAGATGCACAGATCAGATATAAGGACGAGCTGCTCATTTTGCATATTGCATATAAACAAGAGAAATTATTTAGAAGAGAGGGAATCTATTGAGGGGGGTGGGGGTGGGGGGAATGCAGGATTGATTTACGCTCCATTGACGCTTTATCAGGCTCGAAGAAAAAGTCCGGCCAATCAGTTTGCGCCTCGCGCACAGACCCGACCTCGGCAAACCCCGCACACGGCGCCAGGCAGTGGGCTGTAGCACTTTGTTACACTGTAAAAAAAATAGACAGGGGTGAGTGAGAAAATCTCCTAATGTTTCTCTTCTTGTTCTCCATTTAGTGAACACGCAGCGTTTTGCAGATAATGTCCGAGAATGTCCATTTCTGGGACTTTGAGCAACTATTACGTGGACTCCATCATAAGTCATGAGAGCGATGAACTCTCAACCCCGGCTCGCTTTCCCAGTGTGCAGTATTCCGGCTCGAGCTCTGCTGCAGCCGCGGCAGGAAGGCAGCCTGGCGGCGCTGCGCACGCTGAGCATCCCCATCCCGAGTCGTACCCATCCTGCAGCTTCCAGCCGAAGCCTCCGGTCTTCTCCTCGTCCTGGAGTCCATTCAGTCCTCACCACGGTGCCAGTGGCCTCCCTACTGTGTACCACCCTTACATCCCAGCCCAGCACGTGCCAGCCGCGGACACACGGTATCTACGCTCCTGGCTGGACTGCGCGCCACGCGGCTCCGACCCTGTTCCAGGGCAGGGCCAAACAGGACAGGTTAAGTTGGAGCCTCAGCTCGGCCATCTCGGCGGAGAAATCGCACCTAAACTCGGCGGACAGCACCACCACGAGACCACCACCTACATCCTGGAGTCCACATCCACGGCGCGTGAGCTAAGTCACCATCCGACCGCCATCCCCGGAGCAGCGTTCGACGAGAATAAAGACATTTGTGAAGGAAGTGAGGACAAGGACGGCCTGGATCAAAGTAAGTTATTAAAGCAGGAAATAGCGCGCGGGAGAGGGAGAGAGAGCGGAGAGAGAGAGATTGTAAATGCTTTTAATGCCGCCATAAAACAAGAACAAAGAGCCGGAGAGCCAGTGTGCCCCCACCTTCTGCTCTCTAAGTTTGCTGTGATATTTATCCCGTATCAGTGTGTTACCAACAGCCTTCTGTAGGCAGGAATTACTTGGACAGCACAAACAAACTGAAAAAAGTTGAATAGCTGCATTCTCTAACTTAGCTTATAATTTCCCTGTAGCTTTTGTAATGTGACACACGTCAAGCCTCCAAGACTTTGGCAAAATCAGATGAACAATTCACATTATAACTGACATAACAGAAGATAACGCGGGGTTAACATACACAGAGACTAAAACTGAACATGATATCAAAAAAGGGTTATTGTATTCGTATTTGTTATGTATTGGTACTGGGTGATGCTGTTAGTGCATCTCCATATGACAGATTGAAAGTAACTACTCGGGAGTGTTTGTTTGGATGAGTTGGAAATGGCCCCATTAAACACATTAAGTAGCTTTACAGCGTTAAAAGACTGATCTAAAAAAACATAACCTTGAAAAACATAAAGGAAATGGGACGCCTCTGATGACCTTTCAAGTTAAAGTGAGTAATTCGGAATGAAGATTATTTAGCAGCAGAAGTCAGAGGATGAAAGCTGAGATGAAATTTCACAGTCAGGTTTTCCAATTTTTCCTAATCTGCTGCCCTGAAGAGGACAGAGTGGGCGGTGTTCTGTTTTTTTATTTTTTTACTGAAGGTAGTGACTGTAGGGCTCTCGTTTTGTTTTCACACGCGCCCTTGCGCGCACATAGTCTTCTGTTGCGGGCCAGTGCGTTTTAAAGTTCTTGATCTCAGCCTGCAGTAAGCCCGACTGATCGGCCAGTCCAAAGTGTGAGCATCCCTCTGGAGCAGCTTTGTGTACAGACCCAGAGAGCGCCCTCACTTTCCTGTACCACTCATCATCGATCTCCAGCGTGGAGACATTAGCTCCATGGCTTTAATGTTGGGCAGGCTGGGTTATGGATTCTTGACTCAGCTACTTTCATGTATATGTGCGAGTTATAGCACGTGCTCAACCCCCCTAAAAAGTCCTTTTCATGTATCACCAGATTGTAAACATTATAATAAAAACTAGCTTATTGCGTCCACCCCCTCCCTCCCTCTCTCCTTCAGAGAAAAGTGTCCTATATGTCAGCTGTATACATCTTGTACATATCATAAAAATCATAAAATGAGTCAGGCCGTCCATCACTGGCCCGGCGTCTCGGAGCCGTAGAACAGGCTAGATTAGTTCTCAATAGAGCAGGGGCCTCATAACTCAGGCTGTACCACGGACTGCACGGGATTCGGCACCGCTCACATCTCAGGGCGCAGTCAGGAAGACAACTCTGATCTCCAAAAACACGTCTAACTCTGTCTAGAATCCGCGCACATCCATTTCTGGATCCACTGACTTGCTCCAAATAGGGAGGACAGAGTACATGTTTTGTCAAGACATACACAAATCACCCAAATTGTCATTCCGAGACTGTGTATCTGAAAAACTGTGACAAATCCCCTGCTTTGGTTCTTTTTGTTATTAGAACAAATTACCATTCATAATATAGACTCGCTGCTAAGAACCTTTTAAACCCAGCAACTCGAGCTGCCTGAAAGTGCTGAGAACCCGCTTACATCCATTTCACACCAGACACAGCTGTTTGGGGGAGTTTTAGGGTCTAGTCGCATTTTCATCTGCTCACTCTGTCATGAAGCTGCAGGAATCTGAACATAAAGCTGTGCAGTGTTCGGCCAGTAACGTGTTTTGTTGGTTTGTTTGTTTTCTCATCACTCGCCACAACATTAATATTGAATCCACCACATGCTGGAGGGTTAGCTCACTTATACATTGGATTCTTTAAATATTGTTTCTGGTTATTTCTACATAGTCAGTGTTGCAGCTGCTGGGTGTGAGCGGGCTGTTTCCCTCCTCTGATCCCATCAGATGAATCTGAATTGCCAGAGAAGACTTATCCATGCTTTTGAGCGCGTGACCATTTGAGCCATATAAATGAGTTGTGTGCACGCGCGTGCGCATGAAAGAGAGAAGAAGGAAGATCTCCACCCCCATATTGGCCTTTTCAGAGGAAGAAATACAAATTACAAACACACCCTCATATACACACACTTTATTACTGCTCTGGCGCACTGGCACTTTCTCCGTTTCTCTCTCTCTCTCCCTCTCTCTTTCACACACACACACACACACACACACACACACACACACACACACACACACACACACACACACACACACACACACACACCTTATTACAGCATCTGAGCATGCTATCCATCAGAGAGCAGAGGGCTGGTTAAGGGCTGGATGGAGCCCAGCAGCCACCAGTTTGAATTATTAGACTTCCCAGCAGTGTTATCCCAGTCTGGCTGCACGGGTGCTAGTGAAGGCCGGCCTGTTCACACTGGCAAAACTGAGAGTCTTTCTTAAAAGACAAAAAAAAAAAAGTTTCTCTCTCAGCT